AATATTTAGGAAGAGATACACGCTTTCCTTTAATGAATGTTTTTAAAATATTTTGTCAGACTTTTTTCAAGTTTAAGTGCAACGCGCGTGGAAGGGCACGCTAATTTATTTATAAACTTTTAAGGAAAATGTAGCCTGCTAAGTGCACAGGAAAAATGCACTATTTCAATTGCTTTTAATATAAGTTAAGATAATCGGAAAGTAAAGATTCCTAAAGAAATACAACTCATATTATAAATAAAAAACAACTTTACTTTAATAAGATTTTAAATGCACGAAAATTAAGAAACTTATTTTCTTTAATAATAAAAAATTGGGACGCTAAAATGTCCGTTGGTTTCATGGTCAACCAGTTATGCTTTTATTAAAGAAAGCGTGTTTAGATTGTTTTCTTATTTTCGCTGCTTTTAAAGGCTTTTTATTGTGAACTATATTTATATTTCTTTTACATTGCACTTGATATCAACTCCTAAGATAGATTAATAGGAGAAAATGTGATAAAAAGTATTTCATAACTAACAGGAAAAAGAAGGCGCTTGATATGCCATGTTTTAAAAAAGTGTTCAGATATCACCAAAAAAAAAGTATCTTTTAAAAATAAGAAAAGCGATAAAAAATTATAGTTACATTTTAAAAACTTTAAGCTATTCGAGAACCATCTTATGTTTGTTTGTTTCTTGTTTTTTTTTTTCGTATTTTTGTATTGAATATCAGCAGTTGAAAGGAAGATTAGAATTATCTTATCAATTCAAATATTTTAAAACAAACACCTTCAACTTCTTCATGAAGTTAAATGGAATAGCCAGGGAGAGTAAAACAATAAAAGTCACAACAACTGTTTCCCATGATAAAATACACATTGGTGTATAGCCAAGGATTGTATTTTATTAAATAACTAGCCGTCCCGGCCAGGCCCTGCACTGGCCTCTGTGAAAAACCTATCTGTAAAGGACCATGATATGTGTGTTTAGTAATCAGCATATACCCGGCATTGCCCACCGTAACCACAACCAACCAAACCAAAACACACAAAAAACGCAAACATAACTCAAACACAAACGAAAATACAAACGCAAACACAAACCCAACCACAAACACAAACACAAATAAACACAAACGAAAAAGCAAACGAAAAGAAACCAATTTCAAACGCAAACCCAACCATAAACGCAAACCCAACCCAAGCACAAAGAAAACACAAACGCAAACATAAACGCAAAATGCTAACAGTCTACCCCGGGGCGCCAAATCGCACCATGATTGGGTGCCGGTGAAACCGCCTGTTTCACCTTAGTAAACTTTAGTACCCCAACTTATACATAGTCTTTTGCACTCACTTCAATGAACGTGAGCGCCAAATCGAACACGGTAAAACCCGGGGCGCCAAATAGCACCATCTCTGGATTTGATTCACTTAAAGACTATAGTAACCTCTCTTATCCAACATTGTTTCTTCGGTAGTAGAACTTTACACTGCTAAATGTAATGTTAAAAGTCTGCTTAAAAATAAGGTACGCACTATGGTGACGTAAAAAAGAAAACGTTCATCATATTTGGTGCGACCGACAAAAACGAATTCCCCTTCGTGCGCTAAAAAGGACAGACAAAAAAGAGTGCGCAAAAAAAGAAACAAATAATAACCTACGGGAATTCCCGTTCCCGAATAAAGATTTCTTTTTTTTACCTAAACGGTCTTTGATTTAAATAAACCGGGAGTGATCTCCCCTAAACTTTCTCTAATATTCTAATATAACACTACGGGGGATGGCAACTCGGGATATAGACTTCTAGACATGATTTTTAATCCATTTTAAATACTCAAATTTTTTAAAATAGAATATAATCTCGTAGAAAAAAGAAATGCACACCAAGTGAACGCTAAATAAAGATGTGCATAATAGTGCGCAATATTATTAGTACTTTATAAATTTACATGCGTTTTTTGAGAAATCGGAAGTAGCGTAAATAAGTACTTCCGATAAACGGAAATTACTCAAAATTCGATAGAAGGTGGAGAATTAGATCTTCTACTTATATATCAAATTTCATTTATCTATCTGAAATATTACTCAAGTTATAGGCTTTTAAAAAATTCAAAGTAGAAAAAGTACCACTTCCGGTTATCGGAAATCGCTCAAAAGTTGATACGAATCTACGATTTTGATAAAATACTTATATATGAAATTTCATCAACCTAGCTGTAACGGTACTCAAGTTATCGTGTTTACACACGGACAGACAGACAGACACACAGACAGACACACAGACAGACACACAGACATACGGACAAGATTGCAAAATTATGTTTTTCCGTATCAGTGAGGTGTAAAACGTCGAGATTTGTAAAAATCTCGATTTCTTTTTTTTGCACGATTACAAGACTTTCTCTATACTTCGTATATACGAGAAAGTAAAAAGTAATGAGTATAAATTTAATAAAAGAAGGTTCTTTTGCGGGTGGCAGATTTTTAGAATAAACGTAGGACTAGCACTTTAAAATACATAGCGAAGACCAGTGTTAGGCTAGGGCATCAACATGGCGGCGGATCAGCCGCGGATGTAAACATTACGTAGTTTTGGTCACATGTGTGCACCCTCTCTATACCTACAACAAGCACTTGATCAATCCGTGCTAATTATGTAAGTTTTTTTACCCAACACCAAAACAAAATAATAAAAAGTAATTTTTCCCCCTATGTAATGTGTTTTTAATAATAAGCTAATAAAAAAGCTTATGCCAGTTGGAACTTCGATTGAAAAACATAATACAGGAGCGTAAAACTAATTAAAGGCAAGTGGAAAGTCTGCAATAAGCCTTAGAATCGCAAACACTTTACCCGATCACAAAGGAAGCTGTTGCATGAAAAATCGGTACTTGACTTACAGAAACATGACCACAATACAAATAAACAGTCGTATATTTTATGAGGTAAAATAGTAGTGACACGTGGTATCATTATCAGGCCATGTTTATTTAGGTTACTGGATAAAAACAGGTGAGAAATTACAAGCGCGTGAAGATCTATAAATAGAGGTAAATATATCATAACGTTTTATTGAAAAAAAAATCCTCTTGGGGTTCAAACTTGATTTTACAGATTCCCAGAACGTCAAAATAACTGATATCTTTTTGTTGTGGAGCTGAGAATGACCATCACGTTTTTGTACACCTTGAGTTTAACGGTCGTGTTAGTTTTTGCATGCAACCTTGAAAAACCACGTATGTAGTGTTAGTGATGTTTAGCTGATTTCAACGATACAACTATTAAAAAGGGTTTGGTGTATGCGCATATAAAACTGGTGGGGTTCTATTAAAGTATATTACAATTTTAAATTATCAGTTAGGTTGAACAAAGTTTAATGAAACAAGCAAAAAAATTTCGATCTATTCAGTACAATATACTAATTTTTTTCTCTCTTAAAATTTAGGCAAAGAGTTTCGCTTTCCACCCACCCGCTCCGACAGTCGGCTATTTTACTGATCGGATAGCGATACAAGAATCCGTGATAGTTATTTCTCTTTAATGCAGTGATCCAGGTAAGATATAATGCAATCAAATAAAAGTATCAGATCTCTCACTTTGAAGTTGAGAGAATCGTAAGAATCGTACAAAGAACTAATCGCGTCAATGCTTAGCAAAACTGGGTAAAATTAAGCGTTAATACAATTGGTTTCTTTTGTAAGTGTTAAAAAAAGTATCTACTCAGCGATCCAGTACAAATCCTGCGGTTTTTGTTGGTGAAAAAGCGCCCCCCTCCCCTTTCCCACTATCTTGGACAAAGTTGGTAGAGCGGATTTTTAAACGTCACTAACTCTTTTTTAAAGTTACACAATTGTAAAATACGCTTTAGTACAATGGGTTTCTTTTCTAAGTGGTAACGGTTATCTACTGACTAATCCAGCGTAAGTTTTTTTTCCGATTTTAGTCTTCGAGAAAGCCCCCCCCCCCCTCCCCATCTAGGAAAGCTGGAAAGCGGTTTTTGTGGGGCATGTTTTTTAAGGGTATTTGTTTTAAAGCTACAAAATCAAGGTAGAACACAGTTAAATCAGAATGCAAATGCTCTTAGCCGTTAAATTTCTTAACTTTTACTGTACATTATTCAAAACTGCAGCTTAAAGTAAGCTTTTAATTTTTTTACCCCTTTTGGCGCCCCCCCCCCCCCCCTAGGGTCGGCGCCCGGGGCGGCCGCCCTCTCCCCCCCCCCTTAGCTACGCCTCTGACTCACTGTCTCTGTCTTTCTCTTATAAACGTACACGACAACCAGAAATTTAGCACGTTCGACAGGAACAACTATTTACAAAAGTAACTGAGCTCAGTTTTTCACGGAGCCTGGTGGTATTAAATCTAAACCGTGATTGATTTATCTGACATTGAAAATATTCAACAGAAATTCTTCCCCTCTGTAAATTTAGCAGTTAGTGTCATTCCCCTCCCCCTCCCCCGTTTGATAGCTTTAATTTGTACGCATGTAATAGTAACGATGTTTATTTATAATCGGTTAGTAAATCACCTGAATGTAGAATTGTTTTCGTTATAATTAGATTGCAACTTCATGGTTTCACCCCAACCCCCCCCCCCCCCTTTTCGGGATTGTCAACATGTACTTAAAAGACTAATTAACTTTTAATCGTTTATTCAACATGCCAAAAGCATTTTCTTCGCTAAGTTTTGCAATTTTTGTCTTGGTGTGCTTCCCCCCCCCCAATGGCGTCAACCGATGTGGTTCGTACCCCACCCCTGCCACTTGTACGCTTGTGCGTACACGTACAGTTAACGGAAATATGTACCATTCAACCTCGCAATAAAAAAAACAGTAGTGGGATAGAAAATAAGATGTGTTATTGTTTTTCTGAACTCTCAACACAACACTTTATCACGAAACTTTAATTGTAGGTACATCAATAAACTTTGGGTGTCAAAACAGCTATACAGTTATAAATAAGATATGTTGCTCGTGACTTTATGGCGTGGCAGCATTGTAAATTGGCCGTTTTTCAAACAAACAAGTCGTATATTTTATGAGTTCATTTATCAAGAGATAGCAGAGTTGTGACTAAAACTACAACACAATATTTGTTTAAAGTAATTGGATGGATACTTTTGTGTGAATCAAACATATTTGATCATGTATAAATTGAGGTAGATAAAGTAATATCACTTCATTTTTACTTTCTATGTTTGAAACCCGATTTTGAACTTAAAATATAACTTCCATTAGAAAATCTTTATCTCGTTTTTAACTTAGCCTGTTGCAAATGTTTATCAGATTTTGGAACATCAAGAGACTCTTTGCTTTGCTAATGTGTGCTTACAGTGTGATAGGACAAAGTAAGTTGTGTTTTGATAGACATTTTTATTTACTTTTATAGGAGTTACTAAGAATTCCTTTCCAGTAAATTTGACGACACCATTAACCTAGTTTAAATATTTCCAGAGCAACAATTATTTTCTTTTTATGCAAGTAATATTTCATGATATGTATACACCCTCCTTAGCTATTCTTAGTTTTTTTTTTAAAGTAGTAAGCCTTTCGTAATGAAATCGACAACAGATATATTTTACAGTAGGCTTCACCTGCTCCTGTGAACTCGATTTATGAAGGGATGTGTACAGCTTATTACAAGCTTTTATTTAACTCACTTCCTCTGTCTGTCTTGACGGAAACGCAGGGGTGAAAATTCGGACAGTTCTACTTGACCGATACGATTCACAGTTGGCACGTGGGTCAAGACATGAAGACAATGCAATCTGAAACTAAATTTGACTTAATTGGATGCCTAATTAATTTTTTATGAATTAATAAAAATTTGGACCGAATTAGTAGGCATGTCTAGCCAACCACACCACACGCGTCATCACCTTCAATAGCTGCGCCATCACGTAATGGCTGCGTTCAAAAACCATTGCGCGCCTACTGAACGTGATGTTCAGTAGGCGCGCAATGGTTTTTAGTCATGTAACTCTATTGTAAATAAAACATGTAAAGTACTGAAAAAAAAATTCATAAAAAACGTTTTAATAACAAGCTTTTATGTGATGATGCACTAAAAAGTAGAAAATAAATTATAGACTACTATTTAAATAACTATAAAGAAAAGCGTGGGTGTCTTCCTTAACATTAGTAAAAGTATCCAATAGATACTAAAGTGACCCACGCTTTTCTTTATAGTTATTTAAATAGTAGTCTATAATTTATTTTCTACTTTTTAGTGCATCATCACATAAAAGCTTGTTATTAAAACGTTTTTTATGAATTTTTTTTTTACATTCTCTTCAAATCTCTTCACGTGAGTCAGGTACCCATAAAAAATTAGATTTACTTCACTCTATCAGGTACCCACGACGTCACCGTGAGCTCTACGTTGATTTCCCAAAGATCGCCATTTCCGATAGTGAAATTTACTTTTAAAAATTCATTTAAAAACGTTTTAATAACAAGATTTTAAGTAATAATGCACTAAAAAGTAGAAAATAAATTATACACTACTATTTAAATAACTATAAAGAAAAGCGTGGGTCACTTTAGTATCTATTGGATACCTTTACCAATATTTGAGAAGAGAACCATTCTTTTCTTTATAGTAATTTAAATAGTAGTGTATCATTTATTTTCTACTTTTTAGTGCATTAATACATAAAAGCTTGTTATTAAAACGTTTTTTATGAATTTTTTTGTACTTTGCATGTTTTTATTTACAATAGAGTTTCATGGCTAAAAACCATTGCGCACCTATTGAACGTGGTGACTCGTGTGGAGTAGTTGGATAGAACTACTACTAATTCGGTTAAAATTTTAATTAATTCATAAAAAATTAATTAGGCACCCAATTAAGTCAACTTTAATGTCATGATGCATTGTCTTCATGTCTTGAACCACGTACCAACTACGAACCTTATCTGTCAGTTAAAAGTGCCTGCAATTTTGCTCGGCCGTTTCGATCTAGACAGACTGACGACACACTGACGACAGACTGACGACAGGCAGAGGAAGTAAGTTTTATAAAAGCTTGTAAAAACCAACGAATTGAAAATCGGGTGAATCATTTGGGCTAATCATCACTAGAACTGTTTGTAAAATCTGCGTCTCACTTCTCCAAAAACATATCTTGCCGCCTCTCCAGACATCTTTTTTATAGGCCTAATTATTATTTTAACCAAGTGTATATACTTATTAGAACAGTTCAAACCGTGCACAGAGCTAATTGTACATGGGTATAATTTATTAAGAAAGCTATAAAGAAATGGATACATCTGATTGTTGAATGAAAAAAAACAATTTAACCATGGCGATCTTATTATTCTTTTAATTATCAAATATTAAAATATGCTTATTGATATATAGGCCTACTATTTCTGTTACAATTTCTGGTCCATCCCTCTACAGTCCGTTTCTTGCTATCTATCAGTTTCAAATAAATATATTAAAAGATTTTTATTTTTGAAATTTTTTTAGGAAATGGCAACAATAAAACTTTTGCCAGTGCCACTCTTGACCTTACCTGTCAAACTACACCAGACACATGCAGGGATGTGGTCAGTTCTCTGCCCAGACCAGTGGTCATTCTGTCAAGTGGACTTGAGGTGATGTGTGACACACAGACAGACGTGGGAGGATGGACGGTGATACAGAGAAGATTCAACGGACAAACAGATTTCTATCGGGGGTGGGAGGAATACAAGTATGGGTTTGGAGATGTGGATGTCGGAGAATTTTGGCTGGGCAACGAGAACATTCACCGTCTGACGTCACAGAGACGTTACGAGCTGAGGGTCGATTTTAGATTTAACAACACGGACTACTTCGCTAAATATTCCAGGTTTCGGGTGTATGGAGAGGTGGAAGGTTATAGGTTAAAGGTCAGCGGTTATTCTGGCAACGCTGGGGATTCTTTGTTAAACGTACACAACAATCAGAAGTTTAGCACACTTGACAGGGACAACGAACTTGACAGAAGAAACTGCGCCCAAAATTTTCACGGCGCCTGGTGGTACTATTTGTGTCACGTGTCCAATCTGAACGGACTTTGGAGAAGCTCTGAATTCGGTAAGGGACTAAACTGGTACTCAACAACAGGCCATTTTGCCTCTGCTACATTTACTGAAATAAAAATGAGGCCGATTTAATGTTTCAGTTTGTCGCTTTCCTTCATTTAAATCAAATAATACATTGATTTTAGACTTTTTAAAGTATATTAAAAATATTTTAAAATACATATTAAAATGTGTTTCTTTAAAAACATTCTTAAAACAAAAACAAAAATTAATGCTTTCACCTTGTCTAATTAGTTAACTGACTGTGTCTGTCGTCAGTCTGTCTAGATCGAAACGCCCGAGCAAAAATTCGGGCACTTCTAACCGACAAATTTGGTTCATAGTTGGTACGTGGGTCAAGACATGAAGACAATGCAAATTTTAAAAATTGTAAAGTACTGAAAAAATCTTTAAAAATGTTTTAATAACAATCTCTATAAAATTATGATACTCCAAGCCTATTCATTAAATGGAAAGAAATAAACATATAGGATTTGTAGGACCTGGCTTATTAAATGTTATTGATTTTAAAAAATAATAAGTAAACAGTATGTTCAGTGTATAGAATAAATAAAAGGCAGTATTAAAAATACCAACGACATTGCACTTAATCAATCCCCGCTAATTATGTAATTATTTTTTTTCCTAACACCAAAACAAAGTAATAAAAATAAATGCTTTCTTCTCCCGATTTAATGAGGGTTTTAAATGGAAGTAACTGTGTTTTACAAATCAATTGACGTTATGAGAACTAAAGGACAAAATGCACATACATTTCAGACTCAATTTTAGAAATTTTATAAACGTTGATACACTTTTTTAAAAATTTTATGTAATGTTCATAATTGAAAATTATTATTCTAAGTATATAAAATGAAAATTGTTTTAAAAGACTTTCAATAGTAATTTTTTAACTCATAAATTTAGACCATGAGCACTATAATAATCTAACACTTAAATCCATCGAAGTATCCACGACAAACATTTTACAAACATTTTACAAACAAACATGCAGAATTGAACTTTATATATTAGATAAAGAAAAGCGTGGGTCGCTTCCTAAATATTAGTAAAAGTATCCAATAGAAAATATAGTGACCCACGCTTTTCTTTATAGTTTTATAAATAGTGGTGTATTATTATATTTTTATAACATACGTGTGTGTTTGTGTGTGTGTGTGTGTGTGTGTGTGTGTGTGTGTGTGTGTGTGTGTGTGTGTGTGTGTGCCTGTAAACACGATAACTTGAGTACCGTTATAGCTAGGTTGATGAGATTTCATATATAAGTATTATATTAAATTTGTAGATCCATATCAACTTTTCAGCGATTTGGAAGTGGAGTTTTTTCTACCTTCAATTTTTCAAAAGCCTATAACTTAATTACTGTTTCAGATAGATAATAATACTGTCAAATTTTGAGTAATTTTCGTTGACCAGAAGTAGTAATTTACGCTAATTCCGATTTCACAAAAAATGAATGCGAATTTATAAAGTACTAATAATATTCCACGCTGTTATACACATTTTGTTTGGCTTTCACTTGGTGCGCAATTCTTTTTTTTACGAGATGCTATTCTATTTTAAAAAGTTTAAGTAATTAAAAATCATGTCTATATCCCGAGTTGCCATCACCCGGAGTGTTATATATTATGAATATTCGCGAAAGTTTAGGGGAGATCACTTTCGGTTTATTAGTCACGCAACTCTATTGTAAATTTTTTAAATGTAAAGTAATGAAAAAAAATCATTTAAAAAGTTTTAATAACAAGCTTTTATGTAGTAATCCTCTAAAAAGTAGAGAAAAAAATTTACACTACTATTTAAATAACTATAAAGAAAAATGTGGGAAACTTTAGTATCTATTGGATACCTTTACTAATATTTAGGAAGAGATACACGCTTTCCTTTAATGAATGTTTTTAAAATATTTTGTCAGACTTTTTTCAAGTTTAAGTGCAACGCGCGTGGAAGGGCACGCTAATTTATTTATAAACTTTTAAGGAAAATGTAGCCTGCTAAGTGCACAGGAAAAATGCACTATTTCAATTGCTTTTAATATAAGTTAAGATAATCGGAAAGTAAAGATTCCTAAAGAAATACAACTCATATTATAAATAAAAAACAACTTTACTTTAATAAGATTTTAAATGCACGAAAATTAAGAAACTTATTTTCTTTAATAATAAAAAATTGGGACGCTAAAATGTCCGTTGGTTTCATGGTCAACCAGTTATGCTTTTATTAAAGAAAGCGTGTTTAGATTGTTTTCTTATTTTCGCTGCTTTTAAAGGCTTTTTATTGTGAACTATATTTATATTTCTTTTACATTGCACTTGATAGTAATTTTCTCAACTCCTAAGATAGATTAATAGGAGAAAATGTGATAAAAAGTATTTCAGAACTAACAGGAAAAAGAAGGCGCTTGATATGCCATGTTTTAAAAAAGTGTTCAGATATCACCAAAAAAAAAGTATCTTTTAAAAATAAGAAAAGCGATAAAAAATTATAGTTACATTTTAAAAACTTTAAGCTATTCGAGAACCATCTTATGTTTGTTTGTTTCTAGTTGTTTTTTTTTTCGTATTTTTGTATTGAATATCGGCAGTTGAAAGGAAGATTAGAATTATCTTATCAATTCAAATATTTTAAAACAAACACCTTCAACTTCTTCATGAAGTTAAATGGAATAGCCAGGGAGAGTAAAACAATAAAAGTCACAACAACTGTTTCCCATGATAAAATACACATTGGTGTATAGCCAAGGATTGTATTTTATTAAATAACTAGCCGTCCCGGCCAGGCCCTGCACTGGCCTCTGTGAAAAACCTATCTGTAAAGGACCATGATATGTGTGTTTAGTAATCAGCATATACCCGGCATTGCCCACCGTAACCACAACCAACCAAACCAAAACACACAAAAAACGCAAACATAACTCAAACACAAACGAAAATACAAACGCAAACACAAACCCAACCACAAACACAAACACAAACACAAACGAAAAAGCAAACGAAAAGAAACCAATTTCAAACGCAAACCCAACCATAAACGCAAACCCAACCCAAGCACAAAGAAAACACAAACGCAAACATAAACGCAAAATGCTAACAGTCTACCCCGGGGCGCCAAATCGCACCATGATTGGGTGCCGGTGAAACCGCCTGTTTCACCTTAGTAAACTTTAGTACCCCAACTTATACATAGTCTTTTGCACTCACTTCAATGAACGTGAGCGCCAAATCGAACACGGTAAAACCCGGGGCGCCAAATAGCACCATCTCTGGATTTGATTCACTTAAAGACTATAGTAACCTCTCTTATCCAACATTGTTTCTTCGGTAGTAGAACTTTACACTGCTAAATGTAATGTTAAAAGTCTGCTTAAAAATAAGGTACGCACTATGGTGACGTAAAAAAGAAAACGTTCATCATATTTGGTGCGACCGACAAAAACGAATTCCCCTTCGTGCGCTAAAAAGGACAGACAAAAAAGAGTGCGCAAAAAAAGAAACAAATAATAACCTACGGGAATTCCCGTTCCCGAATAAAGATTTCTTTTTTTTACCTAAACGGTCTTTGATTTAAATAAACCGGGAGTGATCTCCCCTAAACTTTCTCTAATATTCTAATATAACACTACGGGGGATGGCAACTCGGGATATAGACTTCTAGACATGATTTTTAATCCATTTTAAATACTCAAATTTTTTAAAATAGAATATAATCTCGTAGAAAAAAGAAATGCACGCCAAGTGAACGCTAAATAAAGATGTGCATAATAGTGCGCAATATTATTAGTACTTTATAAATTTACATGCGTTTTTTGAGAAATCGGAAGTAGCGTAAATAAGTACTTCCGATAAACGGAAATTACTCAAAATTTGATAGAAGGTGGAGAATTAGATCTTCTACTTATATATCAAATTTCATTTATCTATCTGAAATATTACTCAAGTTATAGGCTTTTAAAAAATTCAAAGTAGAAAAAGTACCACTTCCGGTTATCGGAAATCGCTCAAAGGTTGATACGAATCTACGATTTTGATAAAATACTTATATATGAAATTTCATCAACCTAGCTGTAACGGTACTCAAGTTATCGTGTTTACACACGTACAGACAGACAGACACACAGACAGACACACAGACAGACACACAGACATACAGACAAGATTGCAAAATTATGTTTTTCCGTATCAGTGAGGTGTAAAACGTCGAGATTTGTATAAATCTCGATTTCTTTTTTTTGCACGATTACAAGACTTTCTCTATACTTCGTATATACGAGAAAGTAAAAAGTAATGAGTATAAATTTAATAAAAGAAAGTTCTTTTGCGGGTGGCAGATTTTTAGAATAAACGTAGGACTAGCACTTTAAAATACATAGCGAAGACCAGTGTTAGGCTAGGGCATCAACATGGCGGCGGATCAGCCGCGGATGTAAACATTGCGTAGTTTTGGTCACATGTGTGCACCCTCTCTATACCTACAACAAGCACTTGATCAATCCGTGCTAATTATGTAAGTTTTTTTACCCAACACCAAAACAAAATAATAAAAAGTAATTTTTCCCCCGATGTAATGTTTTTTTAATAATAAGCTAATAAAAAAGCTTATGCCAGTTGGAACTTCTATTGAAAAACATAATACAGGAGCGTAAAACTAATTAAAGGCAAGTGGAAAGTCTGCAATAAGCCTTAGAATCGCAAACACTTTACCCGATCACAAAGGAAGATGTTGCATGAAAAATCGGTACTTGACTTACAGAAACATGACCACAATACAAATAAACAGTCGTATATTTTATGAGGTAAAAATAGCTGTGACACGTGGTATCATTATCAGGCCATGTTTATTTTGGTTACTGGATAAAAACAGGTGAGAAATTACAAGCGCGTGAAGATCTATAAATAGAGGTAAATATATCATAACGTTTAATTGAAAAAAAAATCCTCTTGGGGCTCAAACTTGATTTTACAGATTCCCAGAACGTCAAAATAACTGATATCTTTTTGTTGTGGAGCTGAGAATAACCATCATGTTTTTGTACACCTTGAGTTTAACGGTCGTGCTAGTTTTTGCATGCAACCTTGAAAAACCACGTATGTAGTGTTAGTGATGTTTAGCTGATTTCAATGTTTTAATTTACTAATACTAATTTTGTTTAACTAATTTTAAGTTGGAAAATTACTAATTTACATGGTGAATTTAATTTCGTGATTTAAATACGTTTCGCTACACTTACAGTTAGAATTTGTATTTTACTTGAAAATTTTACTTGTAGACAGAGGCGTAGCGACCCTTCCCGGCGCCCGGGGACAAACTTTGGCGCCCCCTTCGGGATCAAAATTTCAATTTTCGATTTGCACCCCCCCCCCCCTCCCTCGTGTCTTTTTTTATATTTATAAAGCAAAAATGTAGCTAAAATAAGATTTTAATTTGTTTTTCCAACCCATTTTGGCACCCCCTAAGGTCGGCGCCCAGGGACATATGTACCGCTTCCCCCCCCCCCCCCACTTCGCTACGCCTCTGCTTGTAGATTCGCAGATGGTTTAAATAGGCTACAAGCTTTAATCAATGATTTCAGGTTTGTAAACAGCTTGATGTTTAATAATGCACGCTAATTGCGGGGTTTTTTTTGTAACATAAGAAGTTGATTAAGTCGTCTGAACGGCGTGAATGTGGTCTAGATTATTAAAGCGAAAATTATGAGTATCGTTTTCGAGTCCCGTCAGAGCTAAACTGTATCTAGCTCAGGGAAAGTAAATACGGATAGGTAAGGAGACGAGGGCAATACCCGTGTAAATGCCGAGGTAATGGTAACACGTGAACTCTACCCATCTACCTTATTGTTAGTCTGGTCTAAAATCGTAAAAATTAGATTCCCACGTGCAAATTAGTTTACGCTAAGCAATATAAGACAAGAAATGTTATCTTAAGCACACATGTTTTTCAATCTTTTGTAGCCACTGGCGAAAATAATAGTTCAACAAGTGCAGCTTTAAAACCATCATGCCATAATACATCCGACACATGCAGGGATGTGGTCAGTTCTACACCCAGACCAGTGGTCATCATGTCAAGTGGACTTGAGGTGATGTGTGACACACAGACAGACGGGGGAGGATGGACGGTGATACAGAGAAGATTCAACGGACAAACAGATTTCTATCGGGGGTGGGAGGAGTACAAGTATGGGTTTGGAGATGTGGATGTCGGAGAATTTTGGCTGGGCAACGAGAACATTCACCGTCTGACGTCACAAAGACGATACGAGCTGAGGGTCGATTTTAAATTTAACAACACGGACTACTTCGCTAAATATTCAAGGTTTCGTGTATATGGAGAGGTGGAAAGTTATAGGCTAAAGGTCAGCGGTTATTCTGGCAACGCTGTGGATTCTTTGTTGAAAGGACACAACAATCAGAAGTTTAGCACACTCGACAGGGACAACGAACTTGACAGAAGAAACTGCGCCCAAAATTTTCACGGCGCCTGGTGGTACTACTTGTGTCACTGGTCAAATCTGAACGGACTTTGGAGAAGCTCTGAATTCGGTAAGGGACTCAACTGGTACTCAACAACAGGCCATTTTGCCTCTGCTACATTTACTGAAATAAAAATGAGGCCGATTTAATGTTTCATTTTGTCACTTACCTTCATTTAAATCACATTTACACATTGATTTAAACTTTTTAACGTATATTAAAATATTTTTAAATACATATTAAAATGTGTTTCTTTAAAAAACATAGTTTTGCAATCTTGTACGTATGTCTGTGTGTATATGTATGTGTATGTGTCCGTAAACACGATAAATTGATTTCCGTTGCAGCTAGGTTGATGAAATTTCATATATAAGTATTATATCAAATTTGTTGATCTGTATCAAATGGAACTTTTTCTACATTCAATTTTTTTAAAAGCCTATAACTTGAGTAATATTTCAGATAGATAAATACAATGTTATATGTAAGTAAAAGTTCTAATTGTCTGCCTCCTGTCAAATTTTGAGTAATTTCCATTGACCGGAAGTAGTAATTTACGCAATTTCCGATTTCACAAAAAACGCATGTGAATTTATAAAGTACTAATAATATTCCGCACTTTTATACACAGCTTGCTTGGCTTTCGTTTGGTGTGCAATTCTTTTTGTACGAGATTCTATTCTATTTTTTTAAAGTAATTAAAAATGGATTAAAAATCATGTTTATACCCCGATGTGTTATTCCCTATAGTGTTATATACGAATATATGAGAAAGTTTAGAGGAGATCACTCCATATTGTTGTTTTTTTTTTTACTTTACTGTATTTAGAGTATACGGGAAGTATTATAATCGTGCAAAAAATGTGTGTCTGTTTGTATGTCTGTGTGTCTTTCTGTGTGGCTGTTTGTGTGTCTGTCTGTGTGTTTGTCTGTGACAACTTGAGTACCGTAATAGCTAAGTTTACGAAATTTCATATATAAATATCATATCAAGTATTATATCAAATTTGTAGTTCAGTATCAACTTTTCAGCGATAAACAAAAGTGCAACTTATTCTTTTTCTAATTTATAACTATGAATTCTTAACCTCAATGTTTTTCCCAGAAGAAAAAAAATTAACTCGATTTAAAGAATATAAAATATGTACTAGCGACCCGAAAATTCCTTCACGCTCCCCCCCTCCCCTCCCCTCCCCTATCTCTTCCCCCAAAATTGTAATGGGTCAGACGAGTTTGAAACATATTCACAGCGACCAAAAAACACAAGAAAAAAAATTGCAACACACGCTAGTCAATATTCTATATGTTTAATAAAAAAATATATCATTGTAATGGATACATTTATTCAATTTTAATTTTAACGTTGAGGCAAGACGAGTTTGATGTTAGGCTTCAGTTTTCGGGTTTGTTTTTCACTATTGGTGGTTACAGCAACAAGAATTTAAAAATTGTACACGTGAGGCTAACTGTATGTATATGATTATATCTGTTTATCTTCTGTGTAAAAAAAACGTACATTATAAAAAGAAACAATAGGCAGCATCTTATACTTTATGTTTTTCTATTGCCTTAATTAACGAAAATAGTTTCGTTTTATTTCGAAATGAACGTTCTTAAGTAAATTATTTATTTCACATTGCGTTTCTTTAGGTAAAAATAAAATAGTAATAAGAATACATTGATTACATTGATATAAACAAATTGTAACTGTATCATAATATAACATTTTGAAAGGTGTTTTTTAAATGTAATTCATTTGCAAAATAGATATTTTATTACACATGTATTGTATAAATTCTGTTAAACAACACATACATTTTTAAAGATCCTTAACACTTTTCCTAACTAAATCGGTCTAATCTTTATCTCTACGGATGTTGCAGTCGCGTAGTAATTTGTTGTTGTGAACCAGGTCAGTCCCTTGCCGTACTCATTGTTTCCCCACAGTCCGTTCAGATTTGAGTGTTGACATCCGCTGTACCACCAGGCACCGTGGAAGACCTCCGCGCAGTTTTTGGTATGGGTGTCGCTGTCTCTGTCGAACGTGCTAAACTTCTGGTTGTTATGTGCGCTTATCAGAGAATCCCCGGCGTTACCTGAGTAACCACTGACCTTTAGCCTATAGCCTTCCAATTCTCCATACACGCTAAACCTTGAATATTTAGCGAAGTAGTCCGTGTTGTTAAATTTAAAATCGACCCTCAGCTCGTATCGTCTTTGTGACGTCAGACGGTGAATGTTCTCGTTGCCCAGCCAAAATTCTCCGACATCCACATCTCCAAACCCATACTTGTACTCCTCCCACCCCCGATAGAAATCTGTTTGTCCGTTGAATCTTCTCTGTATCACCATCCATCCTCCCCCGTCTGTCTGTGTGTCACACATCACCTCAAGTCTACTTGACAGGATGACCACTGGTCTGGGTGAAGAACTGACCACATCCCGGCACGTGTCTGGTGCAGTTGGGATGGACAAAGCTAGAGTTGCCTGCACTGTTTTGTTGTTTGTATATTCTGAAAACATATGAGAAACATTTTAAAGATACAGCAGATTGCTGTACATTAACATAAAAAAACAATTACAAAAAATCACTTTTTAAAGCACTTTTTAATGCAATTATTACATTCAATTTTTTTTTTATCTTTTTTTTAAAATTAAATAAACCATTGTGGAGTTTCAGTTAACAGAGTACATTAAAGCACAATTAAATTTCTAACGGTAAAGACACATTTTCTTGTATAATTTCTAAATGTTACATGCAAATCTAGTGGTAGCATGAAACATTTTTTAAATACATTTTATTAAATTTCTAAAATGATCAATATATTTCTCTCTTACTTTAATTCTTATTTTTTTAATTCCACTTCAGTTTGATGTTTGTCGGTAGTTCGTGTGGAGTTATGTAATATAACCTTTTACAGGTAAATGTAGCGTTGGCAGAACTAGAGAAGTACCCCCCCCCCCCCCCTTTGCAAAAAGAAATTAATCCATATCTTAATTTAATGAATTTAATAGTGAGACAACAAATACCCCAAAAATATGCTCAAACTCATATCGGGCCTTTTAATCCTGTTTTAATTTCGTATTTATTTCATACATACCCGTCAAAAATGGGGAAAAGAGCAACTTCATATCTGGCAAACCGGTTAAAAGTATTCATACACGGAGGCTTGTTAGGTGTTATGGTTTCCCGTGTTCGTTTCATTCTTATGTGTTGGGTTTTTTTTTTTTTTGCATTTATATTAATTGTTTTGAATACATTCGTTTTTATGGATGTGTTTTTTTTTGGCATGCTTACCTTAAATATTAATTAAGAAAATAAATTACATTTTGATTTGCTTAGTACAAAACTATTCAAATGAGCTTTGCCTATCTTTCGCACATTACATTGTAGTTTGTTGTGTCTATGCAACAGTGTTTTTCAGTTACTGTAGCACAAATACTGCTGTAGAAGATTTTTTTCACAAAACCACTGGTCTATTAAGATTTTTTGGCGGATTTGGACCCCTAAACGACCTGGACAACACGGGTGGTGTGTTAAATCCGCCCCTGACTTGTATTCGTTCCTAGTTTGTAGATTAGTTAGATTAGGCTCCGTGTTATTTATTGAATTAGTTCCTATTATTGATTAGTACAACAAGCCTTGGTATTTATCTAAAATTATTTGATTAGCGTAAGCTTATATTTAGTATGTATTTTCTGTTTATTTAATTGTTTGTAGTGATTTGTTTTTATGCAACGTTTTTTTAACTTACCGGACTCGTTCGACTTTAATGACAATGCAAGAATATCACATCTCATTTTAAATTTAAATAAATACTAAATAATCATTTACAAACTGATATAAAGATTACATTATGCAATAGGAAAAGGGGAGAAAACAACAAATTTAATCTCAAGCAATCAGCCTTTTTACCACGGTGTACTGTTTATGAAAGAGGCATTATGCAAAGGCAGATAATTGTCTTTTAGAGATCGCACGTTACTGATCGATTTTAAAGGAAATAATTTTAGTCGTATGTAGTGTCAATTTTATTAAGAAACAAATGACCAAAAAGCCAGCAAAAAATATTTTTTTTAATTTAAAATAATAAAATGTTAAATTCACTTTAAAATAAAAATGATAAAACGTGCTTTCTTGGCCGCTAAAATAGGTGAGCGATTTTATGAGTGACCCTGCTTTTATTACAGAAATCGAGTTCGTTTTATTTTCTTATTTTCAGTGAATTTAAAAAGATTATTATTATAAATGTATTTATATTTTCTAATTTTCTAGGCTGTAAGCATTGTTTGTTTTTTCCAGTGTTTCACACTATTACACTGTCTGAAGTTTGACCTTTTAATTCCAGTATGCTACCGGATTTCATTAGACATTTCGAATATAAAAATATAACATGTAAGGTAGATTGGCCGCTAGAAAATGTATCTGTGTCTGTGCCGCAGGCAAGTAGTTGGTTTTAGTGTTCAGAAAATCGCACTACAAAAAAATTCACTTTAGCTGAAAAACGAAAACTCGACACTAATATAATAGTAGCCTACTTTATACATAATTTTCATGGCATTTTCAATGGATCTTAAGTTACGTGTCAAGTTTTGAATAAATGTGTCGTTAAAAGTGAGTTTCACCCCAGACAAGACGAATCGTGTTGGTATAGTTAAGTTCAAACTTCTTCGCATTTAAATGTAATATTGCTGTGGATTTCCTCCAACACAATGAAGTATTACATGTCAACCTGCTTTGCACCATTGACATTGATGTATCCTTCTCTTTTTGGATGATTTGGATTTTAGAGTTCTCTCTCGTAGATGGATTGCTGTCTCCAGCTATCGACCCAGATAGTCCGGGGGTTCGAGCTCAGGACAGTTCGGTTTAGCAACCATGAGCTTTACCGAACCGATCACAAAGGGTGTAAAAAAATCTTGCACAATCCGAAACAATGAATATCTTCACTACTATTTAGGCAGTGACTCATATTTCATATATATATATATATATATATATATATATATATATATATATATATATATATATATATATATATACAGTGGCGTAGCGAGGTCGGGTGTCACCCGGTGCGGCACTTAATGGTGTCACCCCCCAGAGGCGCAACGACCCTTCCCCGGGACAAACTTTCAATTTTCGATTTACACCCCCCCCCCCCCCCTCAAACTTTCGATTTGCACCCCCCCCCCCCTAAAACCTTCGATTTGCATCCCCCCCACACCTCTTAAAAGGCTATTTAACACTCTAATTAATCACTCTATTAAGTGGAATTATCATTTTTCTCTATATATTTTGCTATTTTTTGCCTTGGTGTCACCCCCCTAAATGGTGTCACCCGGTGCGGTCCGCACCCCCCGCACCCCCCTCGCTACGCCACTGTATATATATATATATATATATATATATATATATATATATATATATATATATATATATATATATATATATATATATATATATATATATATATATATATATAATTGCGATGGCCTCAGTCGCGAATTTTCTGACTCGAAAACATTCAACTTTCTGTTTTTTTAGTCAATCAAAAGCCAGTACAATTACCCATAAAGCCTGAATGATTAAGAATGATTATCGAGATATAATTATTTCAACAAACAGACTATTATTTTTAGTGCTAAAAATCTCGGCGCAAAACAATTCACGCGATATCTCACAGTACACTTTTAATTAGCAACGCAATCGCACGCTGCAATCACACGATTTTAAACACCAAAGCATTCAAAGTCTAGATCTAGATACCAAGTTTAAAAATAGCATTCTAAATCATATATCCACTAGCTTGTGAATAAAAAATAGTTATTTTTTAATTCATTACAAAATGTTTGTCCTACATGTTATTAAACAACAAAATTAGACTTCTTTAAACTTTAATTAAAATGCAAATCGTAGCCTACTTAATTACTTTGACTGTCTTATATTTAGTTGAATGAGTTTTGTTTGATGTATTTTTAAATGTAATTTTGTATACTTATTTCACAGACAATAAAGTCATCCTAAATTATTGTTATATTATAACTCAAGTTACAATTCTTCATGTTAAGTTATCTTCAGGCAAGACTTTTAGGATTATTTGCTGTTGTTTTTGTTTTTTTTGTGTGGATCAAACAGTAATTAATTTTTTATGAATTAATTAAAATTTTCTTAAATGAGTAGGTAGTCCTATCTTACTATTCCGCATTATTATACGCACGTTATCATGTCTGTTCGGTGAGTTTTTATTCATGCAAGTCAATTGTATAATAAATTTTAAAGTACTTAAACTGCATAAAAACGCTGAATAACCAGCTTTTATGTAATAACTAGGCATGCTGCCCAGCTTCGCTTAGGCTTTCGAAAACATTGAGAATTTGAATGCTTAATTAATTCGCCCGAAGGTCGGTCTACGACCTCAAGAGTTATGAAGAGGTTCCTCCGTGGACATTTTTTTTTCGATTTATAGCTCATATAAGGTACCGGTCAGTCGAGGTCAGTTTTGACCCCCACATCGTAGACTTTTCGGCCAACCGGCCCCCGTGTTCTGTCGCACCAAGGCAAGATCATGCCAAATTTGAAGCGCCTGCGGCGCCGGGAAGTGCCCTATCGGACACCCGACAATCTAGATCTAGAATTTTTTTTTAAGTTTAGCCCGAGCATAATAAAAAAGAATACATTAACCAAGTTGACTTGCTGTGTCTCGAACCCGCACCACCTGCGTGGTTTAATGTACACTAACTTCTCCGCTATTTATAAAATACGGAGAATGAAACACGTATTTTAAAATCTTAACTTACGCGAATATGCCTATTCTTTCAAATTAATTTTTTATCCCAAATTAGCCAGTTCCAAACAAAGATTTTGTATAAAATAAATAAGTCTTGAAATAGTTTAGTCCTAATATAGAAATGTATTTTTGGAATTGGTTTTAGAGAAGTTAGAGTCTAAATCTAGATCTTAGCGTCTACGTCTAGATCTAGTTATTGCGTAGATTTAGATTTAGATTTAGTCTAGATCTAGAATCTCTAGATCTAGAATCCAAATACATAAAATAAATTTTATTAGTTTAGACCGGAAAAATTGTAGTGTATACATTTCATAGTGTACGTAGATCTAAATCAAATTTGAATGAAATAGTTCATTTCTTTTCATTCTAAACACGGCAGATGACGTCATTAGTTAATGTATAAGCAATAGTGACGTCACAGTTTTATGCGTTCTTTTTCACATATATTAATGCTTTTCCGGTTGCATAAATAATACTGTTTCTCTACATTCGAATACGCCTTTAATTTTTATTTTTCTTCTTTAACTAAAATTGTGGTTATACATTTAAAACATCTAACATATTATTTTCAACAAAAGTCCGTAAAAAGTTCTTCATATATCGCTGCCGATTCTGACGTGATGTCCGGCGAAAATATTTTGCGGACAGACAGAGAGAGAGAGAGAGAGAGATGTGCGAACGTGGGGATTTATATATTAGGATGCACTAAAAAGAATAAAATAAGCTATTTTCTTTAAATATATTATAATACACTACTATTTAAATTACTATACAGAAAAAGCGTGGTAATAGCTTTAATGTGCGCACAGTTCATATTAAGAAAGTTTATCTATAGACGCTTGATGTAGCATGTAGGGCCTAATCACTAATCAAAATACTAAAAGCATTTTTCTTCTAAGTTTTGCAATTGTTTGTTTTCCATGTCAAGACGCCTTTCAGATTCTAAAATTAATTTTGGAGAACCTCTGTCCAGAAGAAAGCAGACTCAAATATATATGCGTGTGTTAAAGTAAAAACAAAAAATTATCAAGAAATACATACCAATGGCATTGGCTGCATGAATGTTTTGAAAAACTGTGACCAGGCAGCAGATGAAACAAACTTGGAACAACATTTTCAATTTGCCAGTAGCTGGTAGGATCGAGGAGTGCTGTATTGCCAGACTATCGTCACGTTTTATAAGAAAGACCCGGATGTATTTTGCAGCACTGGAAAATACGCGGATGCACTTTATTTAAGCAATTGACGTTTTCTTTAGAGTCATCTTAATATATTAAAACCCAGTAGCGTGCGTGGGGGGGGGGGGGCAATAGGAGCGGCTGCTCCACTTAAAACCATTTTAAGGATAGTGGCGCCTTTTTTGGAGATCAATTAAATACAATTTAAAACAAGTACTGCGACACACAAATAAGAAACAGAGGAAAAAACAACAGCAAACACATTACTGAGACTACGAATTAAAAGCTGTCATGATATGTACCCTAAATATATCATTTTTAATAACTCATCGCAGGTATATCTATAGCCAACTTCTTGGCTTACTTATGGGCGCCTATCTCAGCGTCAGGCATGTGCGTGGCGCTTTTTAATCACAAGTTCTGTCCACTTTAGCGCCAGTAGGTCTGCTGTTTTAGCTATTCCTGCAGGATATAGACCGTCAACAACCTACAGATCGATCTTCATACGATTTTGCTTATCTTTGATATGTCAATACTAGCAGGAAAGGAAACTGCCGGTCCTTTGTCCGTCAGCTTATCTAGAACATTTTCTAAAGGCATCTTGTACAGATGCATATTTTTATAAGTCAATTGTGCTAAAAACTCTATGTAACCATATGTGGTGAGGGGGTGTGAGAAAGCTGAATAAATGTACAGAAAAATAAACACATTCTCAAGTAACTTGAAGCAAGATGATCAGCACGCACACATGCACTTTAATTAACATATACTTAAATACTTCGTGTAAATTTAGTTAAAACAATTTAATATCACTGTGGATAAGAGTAATAATGCCTCCAAAAGATGAATAACCAAATTTTAAATAAAGAATAACTATAGTTGTTTATTTTACAATCAGCATTATAACTTTTGAAACTTATAAAATTCAGTGAATATTGTTTGTTTAGAAATACTAGTAAGAGATGGCTAAGCAATACGGAGATCTAACCTATACCTTATTATTATGTTAAATAATCTCTCAAGAACACAAAAAGCAGTAGTTAATTCAAAAATATAAAGATCTGTATTGCAAGATCAACGATTTAGTCTAAGGATAAAGTTACTGTGGAGCATTATTCAGAACGTTCCACCTGTTAGATTTAGTCTTAAAATCGTTTGAGAAGCGTGATTTTATATAAATTTGTCTTTCACAAAATGTATGATAAAATTATTATTTTTTCTGTTCGTAGACAACATTTTTTGTAAAAAAAAAACAATAGTAATAAGTTACTATATTAAATAGTAGAGTAATTATTCATCTGGTTGAACTTTAAAATTACAGTTAAATCTTTAGGTCTACACTTGTCTCTATAAAGAGAGCGATTATTTCCCCTACTATTGTTCGCTTGTCTTAATTATTATTTCATAATGTCAATTTTTTTTTACAAGATTACAAAACATACTGTGTTACGTTTATTGTTTATGTTTGTACTTTGTGAGTTTTTCTTTCTGATATACGAAATATAGATGGAGTATTGTAAGAGTGCAAAAAACCGAGATTTTTACAAATCTCGACATTTTACACATCACTGTGACGAAAAAACATAGTTTTGCAAATTTTTCTCTATGTCTGTGTGTATGTGTGTGTATATATGTGTCTGTGGACACGATAACTTGAGTACCGTTACAGCTAAGTTGATGAAATTTCGCATATAAGTATTATATGAAATGTGTAGTTCTGTATCAGATTTTCAGCGATTTCCGATAAACGGAAGTGGAACTTATTCTGCTTTCAATTTTTCAAAAGCCTATAACGTGTGTACTGTTTCAGATACATAAATGAAATTTCACAAGTAAGTAAATAATCTCTGCCTTTTGTACAATTTTGAGTAATTTCCGTTGCACGGAAGTAGTAATTTACGCTATTTCCGATTTATCAAAAAAAAAAACGCATGTGAATTTACAAAGTACTAATAATATTCCGCACTATTATACACATATTGCTTGGCGTTCACTAGGTGCGCAATTCTTTTTCTACTAGATTCTATAGAGTTCTTGCATATGACGTCACGGATCGTTCAGTATGTAAACATCCGCCATCGCGGTGTACAGGTCCTGATTCAAAATGGCGATCTGTGCTGTGGAAGGTTGTGATACTCGAATTGGCAGATCTAAAGGGATTCCTTTTTTTCGACTGCCAAGGGTTATATTAAACCAAGGTGATAGAGATCGGCAATCAACAGAACGTAGACATTGTTAATTTTTAGCCAATAGGCCTATTTATCGAAGCAGTGTGAGTGAAGCAGCGGCAAATAAAGGTAAAGACAGTAAACAATAAACTTCATTTCAATTAACTATTAATAAAACACGTATGCTCGGCCTTCATAAATACTAATTGCAATCGACCTAAGGCAAAAGTAATAATAAAATTTGATTGGAATATTTATTTAATATTTAGATCTAGATCTAATGATATTGTAAACGAAATTAAATCTAGATTTAGAGAGACTGGCTACGCTAGGTAGACAGAATCTAGAATCTACCTATTTAATTACATTTAATTACAAAATTAATTTAATTTAACTAGGCCTACAAAATTTACTTCATATTCGTTTAATCGGCCTTATTCGATTCATAATACACTAATTTATTATGAAGTTTCAAATTTTGGATCCGGTTTGAAAAAAAAATTGTGAAATTTAGTGGTCTTAAATTTAAATCATATGCGAATGTACCTTTTAAAAAGCTGTATTGAAAAAAAAAATGTGTGCTCTCTATTATTAAAAAATGTTGTTTTTTTTTAAACCGGAGCCTACCCCTTTAAATATGTTTACACATAAGGGTTGACAATACCTGGCATTAATTGCTTCTGAGAAGGCTTTCGATGGCACACACAGAAAGAACCTTTAGAAATTTTTACGGCGACATCATTTTCTAAAGAAATTCTTGAATACCAGCAATAAGGAAGTTTTGAACAAAAGTTTCCAGTAATTTGTGGTAAGCATTTTGCTGATTCACTTGGGGTTATGGCAGTAGTTTAAAAAATGATGTTTTTTTTTCCCTCTATAGTTGGTAATTGACTGGCTGGCAAAAACAAACTACAGCTGCGTTTTTTTAAATACGTATTACATCGAACACTATCACTTATACCACTAGGTTAGATTACCATGGTTTCGACATAACACAATTAGCTAGAAAATATCAAAATTAAACTAACCTTATGTGTTGTCTTTGTCGAATGCGACTCAAAAAGCATCTTTAAAATAAACAACACACACAGTGCATTTGTTAAAGTACATTGAGTTTCTTACAGATCCAAAGTGTTTGTTACAAGTACCGTGTATTATTTGTTACGGGGATAAAGTATTTATTGCGGGGCTAGAGTATTTGTTACGGGGATAGAGTATTTGTTACGGGGACATAGTATTTGTTACGGGGATAGAGTATTTGTTACGGGGATAGAGTATTTTTTACGGAGATAGAGCATTTGTTACCGGGATAGAGTATTTATTATGGGGATAGAGTATTTGTTACGGTGATATAGTATTTGTTACGGGGATATAGTATTCGTTACGGGATAGAGTATTTATTGCGGGGATATAGTATTTGTTACGGGGACATAGTATTTGTTTCGGGGATAGAGTATTTGTTACGGGGACATAGTATTTGTCACGGGGATAGAGCATTTGTTACGGGGATAGTGTATTCCTAATGGGGACATAGTATTTGTTACCAGTTGATAGACCACTTGTGATCAAAGACCCTCTGCTGAGAAAACACATGTGGTCAAACCCCCTATGGTCAAACCCCCTATGATCAAACCCCCTATGGTCAAAGCACCGCTATGGTCAAAGGTCCGCTGTGGTCAAACCCCCTATGGTCAAAGCCCCTATGGTCAAAGCTCCGCTGTGGTCAAACCCCCTATGGTCAAAGCACCTGTGGTCAAAGGTCTGCGCACCTTTGTTACGGGGACAGTGTATTTGTAACGGGGACAGAGTATTTATTACGATAGAGTGTATTTGTTATGGGGGCAGTGTATTTGTTACAGGGAGAGTATTAGTTATTGAGCCAAAGTGTTTGTTCCAGTTTTTGTTCTGTAAACGGACCTTTGGTAAGGAAAATCGTCTTCTAGTGTTAAGGATTTTATCCGTTTCAAAGCAGAAAAATGATTCGATCATGTGTGGCTTCAACAAAATGAAATCACAATAGTAAATAGTTAATCTGACTGATATGATGGGGTTTTTTATGTGTTAATTACTTCATGGAAATGTGTTGCAAGATAAAGACAATTAACAAATCAAGTATGTATTTGTGATTTAAATGTATTACACACATGCGCACATACACACACTCACAGACGCACATTTAAATATATATATATATATATATATATATATATATATATATATATATATATATATATATATATATATATATATGCTTTATATAGGCTTTATATATGCTTTATATATGCTTTATATATGCTTTATAAATATATATATATTCTCTTCTTGGAGACCCTAGAAAACACCAAGCTGTAAGCGCGCTCCTTACCACCCCCACCCCTATATGGTCTGGTGGCATGTGGTTCACGCTAAATGTTTACAATCGTGACGGCTTTTAGGGGCAGATAATTTAGTTTGAAAGGATTTTAAACTTAGGGGAGGTAACTAAGAGGATCCTGCTGTCACAACGGGGGGGGGGGGGGGGGGTGGGGAAAGGAGGGGAGGGGTTTATCGTCCTTAACGAGCTACTGAAAGTGTTTTAAAGCAAATATATTCAGTGTAAGCATTGGTACTGTCGAATTTGCAAATTATGAATAACTGAAAAGTAGAAAATAAAACAATTAAATAGCGGCGTATGATACGCCGCGGGTCGGCTCTTATAATATAATTTATATATGAAAATTTATTTAATTTTTATCGGAGATTTTTTACAAGCTTTTATTTAACTCGCTTCCTCTGTCGACAGTCTG